TTCGCTTTAGTTAAGTCGTGCACGACGCATGTGTTTACTACATAACATACTCCCCCCGTTGAGAGGGTAACGATCAACAATAACATCCAGAGATTAAACTGTAACTTATGATACTAATACGCATTACAATGAATAGGTACGGTATCGTCTTCAGAACAAATCTTGTGACATGTGTAGATATTACGCTTATTGTTCGAGCGGAATTGGGCACAGATACTTAGCAGCTCTTTTCAATTCTCCGCCAGCCGTTTTGATGGTGACAGTTCGAGCTATTCCGTCCTCACCCGGATGGAGTTTCGTGATTCTGCCTAATAACCATTGCGTGCACGGTAGATTCCTGTCCTTGATGAGCACGATAGTCCCGATGTTTAACTTCGGCCCATCTTTGATCCATTTACTGCGTGTTTGAAGTTCATTTAGATATTCGAGGTACCAACGTGCCCAAAAATCTTGTCGTACTTTCGATATATGTTGCCAGGTAGACAACCGGTTAACTGGAACACATAATAAATCTCCCTCCGGGAGGGTCGTTAATGGCTTGCCAATTAAATAATGAGCGGGTGTTAACACCATCATGTCATTCGGATCAGATGATAAGGAAGTGATCGGCCTGGAGTTTAGAATACCCTCAACTTCGATAACAAACGTGTTCAATTCCTCGAAAGTGAATAAAGAATCTCCTACCACGCGTTTGAAATGATGCTTGAAAAGCTTCACCGTTGACTCCCACAATCCACCGAAGTGTGGAGCTATCGGAGGTATGAAGTGCCAAACGATGCGGTGTTCGCTAGCAAATTTGTTAATGTGGTCTTTGTGCTCTTCGGAATTGAACAACGCGTACATTTCTTTCAATTGACTATTCGCACCTATGAAATTGGTTCCATTGTCCGAGTAAATGTGTTCTGGCAGCCCCCTTCTAGCAACGAAACGTCTAAGTGATGCGAGAAAACCGTAGGACGTCAGATCACTAACAACCTCGAGGTGGATTGCTTTAATTGACATGCATACGAATACGCAAATGTATACCTTAACACGTGTTCGATTGCGGTATTTCCTTTCTTTGATATAAAATGGACCGCAAAAATCAATACCGGTATTAGTAAAAGGGGGTGCTTCGCGTACACGGGCCGGTGGGAGATTTCCCATTTTATATTCGATTGGATTAGCGTCGAACCGAAAACAGCGCATACAACTACGCACGACCTTCCGAACTTGATTACGGCCGTCTAACAACCAGAATCTTTGTCTCAAGAAATACAATGTGGTTTGGATGCCCGCATGGTGATGTATTTCGTGAATTTCGCGTATAATAAGATCCGTTACATAGTGCCGGCTTGGCAATAGAATCGGATGTTTTTGTGAGAATGGCAGATTTGTCTTCTGGAGACGCCCTCCAACTCGAATTAAGTCGTTCTCATCCACAAACGGGTTTAAATTAACTATTTTACTCTTGTTTATCGAATCCTTGTTTTTAAGCCTTTTGATTTCAGTGAAAAAACAAGCGGCGTGAAGAATCCTTAGTATTCGTATTTCTGCTTCGTTAATTTCTTTCGCACATATCGCTCCAATGTATTTGTTAGTAAGTCGAAAACGAAGACAATACGCGATGACACGAAGTAGCTTAGAGTATGAAGAGTACCTCTCGAAAATATTGAAGTCGTTAGATATTGATGACAAACAAGTGTTCCTTTTTAACTCGGGTATTTCAATCGCTCGCATGATCTCATTAGGCCATGCACATTCATCCTCTAAAAGCCACGAAGGTCCCTCAAACCACGTCTGATTTTGCAAAAATATGAGAGGTAGTTGACCTCTTGACACCGCATCAGCAGGGTTATCCCCCGATTTAACATGACGCCATTCGATAAAATGAGTGAGCTCGTGAATTTCTACGATTCGATTCGCGACATAAGTCTTGAGTAGGTGAGATGGTGTGTTTAACCAATGTAATACAATTGTCGAATCGCACCAGAAAATAATTTTGTTGAACGCGATATTTAGAGTATCATACGTTTCGCGATACAATTGAGCCAGCAATAACGCGCCGCATAGCTCAAGTCGCGGTATTGTAACAGTCTTCAACGGTGCGACCCGAGACTTGGCGCATAGTAATCTAGTTACGGTGCCTTTATGTTTTCCGACCGAACGTATGTACAAACATGCACCGTAACCGAGGTTGCTCGCATCGCAGAACCCGTGAAGTTGAACGTCACCATAATCTTCTACAAATAATTTGCGATTGAAAGAAACCCGATCCATCAATTGCCATTGTCGAACAAATTCCGTCCATTCGGTGTATATGCTCTGTGGAACGGATTCGTCCCAATGTAGCCCGCACCGCCACACATCTTGCATTAATTTTTTAGCATGAAGAACAATAGGACCCAATAAACCCAATGGATCGAAAATTTTCGCAATTTCTGACAGTACGTTCCGTTTTGTTAATTTATCCGTGATCTTGATCGGATAAGCCGAATAATATATTTTATCGTCCTGCGTGCTCCATGATACACCTAATGTTTTTAGGGAACGATCCGTGTTAAGTACAAAATTTGCGTGTAAGGCGTTGGAAGCTAAGTCGCTAATAATACGCTCATCGTTAGAAGCCCATTGCCTAATGGAAAAACCACCGCGAGCAAGTAGCGTGATTACTTCGTCTCTAATCGCCCGAGCTTCGTCAACGGTTCCGGCACCTGATAACAAGTCATCCACGTATAAATGTGATTTGAGAATTTTAGCTGCTCTAGAGTATGTGTGACATTCGTCGTCAGCGAGCTTCTGAATGGTTCGTATAGCAAGAAACGGCGATGAAGAAACTCCGAATGTAAGTGTATTAAGCTGGAATGTTTCCACATTACCGCCTCTTCGCCACAGAATACGCTGATATCGACGATCGTCTTCGTGTACGAGTACTTGACGATACATTTTCTCGATATCTGCGGTAATAACATAATTATAAGTCCGGAACCGAATCAAGTGCGAAAAAAGTTTATCTTGGATAGTGGGACCTACCATTAACGTATCATTTAAGGAAACACCGTTACTCGTCTTAGCCGATGCATCAAACACTACTCGTACCTTGGTGGTGTGGCTCGAATCTTTAATCACCGCATGATGAGGCATATAATATCCATTCTCACAGGGAGCCTCTACCAGAGACATATGCTTTAAATTTAAATATTCTTCCAACACCCTAGTATATTCGATCTTTAATGTCGCATTCGCATCAAGTTTACGTTCTAATGCCGATAAACGTTTAAGCGCAATAATCCGCGATTCGCCAAGACGTTTATTTATTTTGCGAAACGGCAAACGAACTATGTAACGCCCATCATGACTCCGAGTGACGGTATTCGTAAAGTGTGCTTCGCATGTAATTTCCTCTTCCGATTTCGGTTTGTCTCTCGTAATTTCTTCGATCAGCCAGAATTTCGCTATTTGATTTTCTAAGTTTGTTAAATAACATTTCGACGCACACGATGGAGATTGTAAGGACGTGCTACCGGCTATTACCCAACCCAGACGCGTCTTTTGTAAATATAGATCGCAACCATCATGGGATAAATTAATCTGACCGACTGAGAACAACGACAATGTAGCCCCTGAACCGATTAATAAGTCGACAGGACGTGGAAGATGGAATTCTGGATCCGCCAAATAATGTTCGAAGGTATTCCGATCGAATTCCGCGGGAAGATCTCCGACGGAATCAAATCCGTAATAGCTGGAATCGTTAAGCATGTAAGATCCTTGCAAAAACTATCGCGTATAGACTGTATGGTGATTTGCACTATGCCTCTAGATACGGTACTCATAGAGTTAATCGCGCCAATCGGTAACGAATGTGCCATTACATGAAGATCTAATTGTTTCACGATGGACTCAGAAATGAAGTTTGCGGTAGCGCATGTATCCAACAAAGCACGACATTTAATAAGCTTTCGTTTGCGATCACGAATGTATACTAATGCACTCGTTAGTAATTGGGGACCAGATACTTGTGATATTGACGTGAGGCTCGTGGCTCTGTCGGGAACCGAATCGGCTAGTCATTCAGTTTGTGTATTTTCAGATTTCGTAGTATTTGATTTGTTTGTAGCCGCGTATTTATCGAGGTGTAAAAGTGTGTTGTGTCGTTTTTGGCAAATCGTACAATTAGAAAATTTACAAGGGGTATCTCGATGGGATCTTAAACAATTGTAACAAATCTTAGCATTTTTAACCGTCTCAATACGTTTATGTACTGGCAATTGTTTAAATTTGTCGCATAAATAAAGTGGATGACGTTTAACCTTGCATGCTATGCAATTACGCGTATTTGACGAATTTAATACGAAAGCTTTATTTGAGAAGTTGCTGCGTTTTTTCTTAACCGGAATTTCATCTTTACCTTTCTTTTGTTCCGATATTTTCGATCTTTCACGTTTAGAAGCACAAACTGCGGTTTTATATAAAAATTCATACAATAGATCCAGATTCGGAAATTCGTCTCTCTCAAGAGTCGCTTCCCATTTTTCCAACGTATTCTTCGGCAATTTACTTTCCAAAAGATGTACAATTATTTCCGGGCTGAGCGAAACTCCTAAAGCATTTAACGACGCGACGTGTTGTTGAGCGTCATCCGCGAGCTTAGATAAACCACTAGTAGTTTCCTGATCTATCGCGGGCAAATTAATAATCAATGAAAGATGACGTGAGATTAAAATCCGCTTAACCTCGTAAGAGCGTTCTAGTAATTCCCATGCCTTAACATAATTCATCCCGTCGATCGCGAAAATCTTAATTTTGTTAGCAGCATCAGCGATTAATGCCGATTTTAGGTAATGTAATTTATCTACATCCGATAAATCCGCTTGCGAGCCGATCATATTTTGAAATGCGTTCTTGAACGATAACCAATTCTCATATTTACCGTCAAAAGTCGGTAAAGGAGCCTCGGGTAATTTGAACCGCCGTTTCTTGACAGAAGTTACGGATACTGCATTTTCGCTTCGAATTTCCTCGTTTGTTGTACCTGCGCTCGCCTCTGATATACTCGCTGTATTCAAAATATCCTCAATCTTACCAGCGAGGGAATAGAACCGATCTTGAATGTTAGTGAACTCCTCTAGATGTCCATCACTCGGATCTAAGACTATAAGTTCATCATTAAAATCTTCGAATGCGTGATACAAGACCGTTAAACGGTTAATTCGCAATCTTAAATTGGCGTTATTAAAGCTACCTTTGTCGAGGATGTTCGCCAAATTGGTTATCTGAGACTTTAAGGTGGTACGTTTTTGCGTAAGAAGTTTAATTCTATCGGACATGATTATAACATTCGCGAGAAATAGTTTCGATACAAATGAACA